TATGCACAGCATTAACACTCTGCCACACTTACCACATGCTTCTTGCTGACATGACACACTCGACGTGTTGATTGTGGTGAGCAGTGTTTGTGTCCACAGGCAGATTATGAGTCTCTTTTAATGCTCTCACTGCATGATGTGACTTGTTTCCCCTTCAGATGGACTTCTATCTATGTTTGACTCAGGACTACAGCTGTGGCAAAATGCATCTGAAAATGTTGTCCACCATAGTAGATTTTCAGATGTGACCTACTATGACCTTTAACAGGGTATTTCCTGCCCTGCATTTAATGTGAATGATATACTTAGCCCATTCCAGTTACCTTTGCTCCTCCATCCCTCTCTTCTCATGCTCCTTCTTCCCCACTTTGGTTCTGGGCAGGACGAGGGATGTGCCCCCCTGCTGTGCACTCGGAGGAAGGAAGCGAGGATTGCGTAGGAAATTTTGTCGATGTTTCAGCTTCTGAAGTTTCTCCAGTCCCTCTTCTCGGTCCTTTGCACTGGGCTCATCCTTCCACTTCGGTCTAGGTACGGTCTGTTTGGACTTCTGAAACATATAGTACACTTGTGTTAAAAAGTCCTTATAGCTCTGATTAATTGAAAGGGTGTAAATGTGACTCCTCACCTCTTTTGGTTTCCTTCTCGTTGGGGTGACTGAGCTTGATTCAAAAGTCAAGCTGAGATCTGATTCGCCTAGAATGATCTTCTCTGGACTGGGAATTAAAGAGTAACCATCATCCTGAGGCTCCTTGGACACGTGCATGGCGTAGGAGACGGTGGGTTTGCCAGGATTTGATTTTACTGACAGGAAAAGAACAAATGAGAACCTGGCCAAACATGTTGTTTATTTATGATTTAAGATGAATCCAAAAGAGGCTCATGTACTTGCTGCTGGTGCTTCCACATGTGGTTTTTGTGTAGGTAAGTAGTCCTGGGGGGAAATGAGGTTGTTCATTTCGAGAAGGTCTTTGTCCACGCACCAGGAAAAGGCAGATTGGACTGAAAATAGACATGAGATAAGATAAGTACTTTATTGATCCCAATTTGGGAAATGTTTGCGTTGCAGCAGCATAAACATACATATACATATCATTCAAATTGTTACTTGTAATTTTTTGAAACAGCAGTATATTCATTCATGATCATATTCCCATCTCACCTGTGAGGAGGTCCTGTTGATCGATAATGTCTCCCATCCTCTCCCTCATCCTCTCGTAGGCCTGCCTCTCTGTGGCTGCAGCCCGAGCTCTGGCCTGGATGATATGACTCTCCAACATGTCAGCCTCTTTTATACGCCGGCTGTATTCAGAATGAGCCTGTAATAGGAAAAAATATATAATACAGATATATATCATTGCTATGGAGTTGTGTGTAAGCCTTGTGTAGTTAGGTTACCTGTTGAAGCTCTTCCACATATCTGTCATGGTAGCTGCTGCGTCCATTCTTTGTCTTGATGAGGTTGGACAAAGTGTCTTTCCCAATGATGTCTTTAGTGTAAAGGTCCTTGAAGGTGCTCGCTAACACGTGAGAAATGTCCTAATGTACCAGAATGAGAAAAAGTTCATTTGACTTAATGCTTAATGTGAATTTAGTTAGTGTTTAGCAACATTATATTCTTAGTAGCAGGCAGTGGTACAAAGCACTTAAATATATTTACTCAAGTACTACTGTACTTAAGTACACATTTGAGGTACTTGTACTTTACCTGACTATTCTCTTGTATGCTACTTTTTACTTTTACTCCACTAAATTTTGGAAGCCCACTTCTTACTCCATTACATTTATTATAACACTCACTAGTTACTTTGTACATATACAAACAAATGATAAACTGATGTGGTATAATGCAGTACTGTGCTACTATCTACACAGTATTTCAAGTATCTACATTTGTCGAACATTGACCAAATAAATACTCTTACATGGATAAAACAATAACCATAATAACAAAATACTTTAAAGATACGATATAGTAATTTTACTTGTGATGCTTTAAGTACACTTTGATGATAATACTTCTGTATTTTATGTTATTCTGAAATGGGCCATTGTGCAGAATAAGTACTTTCACTTTTGGTACTTTAAGTACATTATGATGCTAATACTTTTGTATTACATAAGTAGAATTTTGAAACAAGGACTTTTACATGTAGTGGAGTATTCTAACCACATAGTATTTGTACTTTAACTAAAGTAATGGATCTGAGTACTCTTTACACCACAGGTTGTTTGGTAAACAGCAGGTACCTGGGACTTCCCTGATGCGGGTCTGTGGCTGTTCACAGACGGATCAAACAGAGAGGGTTCTCTGCTCTCTGGTTCCTCCAGCATGGCGGAGGAGACGCTCATGTAGCTAACGGTATGCTAATTAGCTAAACAAAAGTTAGTTAGTTAGCTAGTTAGCGTAAATAAACACAAACACATGAATTAGCATGAAATGTCAACGTTAAAACAGACTTATAGCGTTAGCAAGACGACTTATTTCCCTTACAAATATAACTTATACACTATTTTTAGCTAGGTAAAACTGTGGCTAAAATGTAAATGTACTCGCTCCCTTACGCCATGTTTATTTACATGTGGTTGCCATAGTGACAGATACATCCGCTGTAGCCCTCCAAGAAGGAAACCACAGAAACATAAAACTAGTGCCCCAAAACACATTATTTGAGAAACCACGTTTAATATTGTACCAATATGCTAGCTATTTACGCCTCATATGTGCTTAACCTTTTCGCTATTTGTTGGTTTGTTTTCGTTTTTTATTTATTCTAATTAGTAAAACTAACAGCTGTCAGGTAAATGTAGTAAAGTAAAAAGTAGGCCTACTCCACACTGAATAGTATATGGGCCAAAACACTTTATACCTCAATGCTTCAATATATTTATAAAACAATCACACCTGCATGATACTGCACTGTCATGAGGTGTGGCCTTGTCTCCTTTTCATGAGGGCTTTATTCCACGATGCTACCAATTTAAAAAATATGGTTTTCCATGGACAAAGCAGAAGTATGCCTTCAAACTGATATTGAGGGATAGGTTGTTTCCGCACATTTTGACATGCAAAGTACTTTCCAACCAATGCAAGCAAAGCAAATTGTCTGTGGCATTATGCAAAAAGAGTGGTTCCTGCTTAAGCAATGATTTTGAAACACATTGCTTTTTGTGAGGGCAAAAACTCCAAATACATACAACACACATTTCTTGTGCTCAAGTGGGATCTCAAAGGGGCAATTGTTAAGCCTCCCTTTGTATCACCTCGTGGTTTGCCAGACAGAGTTTTTCCTCATCAAGACCTGCCCCAGCATGAGAATTCGTAGAAAAGAAAAGCCTGGCAGTCACTGAGGCTCAGAGCGTGATCTGTGTGAGCACTCTGAGCACTTTTCCCCTACTTATACTTCAAATTATCCTTCCATATTAGACACCAAAGCAGATTATCATGCATCAGTTGTTACTTTAGCACATTGTTCTGTTTGAACTGCTGAAATCTCTGCTAAGGATTGACGCCTTTATCTGCTATCAGATGGCCAAGATAGCGTAGAGACCTTGTAATAATAATGATGACTGCAGACATGGTGTGATGTGATGAGTTACTTTGCACTGTAGAAAGGTACAGGGGAGAGGCAGGAGCATACCTCTGTATATAATGGCAGGGCCACACCGGGCCAACACCCTGCATACATAACATCACGTATATAGGGGTGAAAATGCTTAAAAATTCACAGCAGTGACTTAATGCATGTATAGATAGAAGACTTCATGCAACATTGTCTTATAAAGGACCACATTTGACCTTTTGAAAGTGTTCATTTTTAGTCCATGCTGGTAAAATTCCATCCAAAGGTATCAGGGCGCTGATTGAATGAAAGCAAACACAGTGGACTTGTCAGACCGGTGTTGCAGTGGGTGTGGACTGATGGTAGCTCAAGAGTCTGATGGGCTGGTATTAACTGCGCACTGTGTGAGGCTGCTCAGAGGGACACACCGGCTGATCTGTTCACTACGTAGGACAAACTAACTATGTTATTATAACTATTATAGTATATCTGACACCATTTTGGAGGAGAAAAGGACTTTACCCCGGCGTATGGTGATTTTATTTTGACAGGAATCAGAATGGAGTCAAATGGCACAGCTCCGAAACATGGTGAGTGTTTGGTGACGCACAGATTTACTACACTGTCTATTATTTCTACTACTCTCCAAGCACATTGTTCCCAGTGCTTTCCATGTATTGGAAATATTCAGTATACTAGAATTATTTTTAGTTTTCAATGAAATTATTTTACAGAAAGAAAATGAAATATTTTTTGCCACTTTTGTGTATGTTTCATGTATGTGGAATGGTGTTTAACTCCTCCCTCAGCGCGGCAGGCACTTGACTTTTTATTTGATATTTTACATGAATTATTATGTTTATATAACTTATTGTAGATTTTATTATTTTATTATTTAAATGTAATTATTTAATTCATTCTATAATGGAACAACTGGCACAACAAATATATTTCCCCCTGGATTATTAAAGCATTTCTGTTTCTGAAAAAGCCCAAGACAGATGTTTCACTGCATGGGTACAGTAAAGCTTATGATCTTGATAAGAAAATAAAAAAACTATGCCAGATTTGTTTGTATAGTTTAGTGATGATAAAGCATTCCAGTAGCTGTCATTTCCAGCGAATTAGTGCCCCAGATTTTCAGGTTTGAGTTGTTTTTGCTGCCAGCACAGTGTCACAATTTACTCTCACAACACATCCAGTCATTCCCGACCACAGCCTTTGAAATGACTTGTACAGATTTTTTTAAAGACAAGGGTTCAACTAGCACAGTAGATGAAGGCCTACACGAACCATGGGGTGGCGCTATTTCATCATATAACAGCATTATTCAAGATAATAACAACATTTTTTGGGCAAACTAAGCCTATGCATGCAGCCAAGTCCATGCACAGAAGAAAAATAATGTGAAGTAGGCATATGCAACTACCATTTCAAGTCATAATGTAGCCTACAATCTTCTCTTCCTAAAGCAATGGGAACTCCTTCATGAAGTTACTCCTCAATACTGAAAGTCGGATCGACTTGCTTGTGACATTTTTTAACCCAAATCAGATTTAATAGTGTTTTTTTGCGCTAAATTACCATGCATACACCTCCCCAAAGCCTTCGAAGTCCCCATCTGTACAGTGACTGATGCAGGGAATATAACAGAGTAGTGGATGAGTTTAGACCCGCCCCATGGGGGGAACTACAGTAGCCTACGTGGTGCTTCTCCTCCACACGGAGCACACATTAAACACCGTCTGGATACTTTTTTTGGGGTGTTTTTATCGTAAAACAAACAAAAGAAAAAGTGAATCCTGTCCGAAATGTCTTGTTTATCCAAACGCTTGAAAAGAACCAAATCCGAAGAGGAGGCTTTCCTGGAGAAGGCGAAAAGAATTGCGCACGAGAATGGGAAACGGCTAGGTAAGTCCCCCCCCCCCCAAAAAAAGGTGTAAAATGTGTACGAGCTTTAGGTTTGTACAGCTTTGTTTGGGCACAAAACGACGGGAGCGCGCATATTGAATATGTAGACCACCTGGATGAGATCTTCATCTAGTCAGCACTGATCATATGTTCCAGGGAGGAACATACGTAGAGGCTTCCTTATTGCCTGGATGGGTGCATTTTCTATTAGCTACCATTTAGAGGAGGGGTCACTACCTTTTCAAAACAGGGACAGACAAAAGAAGGCGTTTTAACCTTTAACATAACTGAATGCAAAGAGGGGGATTCCTGTTGTGCAGCATATGTGCATAATGAGTCAATTTAAAGGAAAAAAGAAAGCAGAGTAATAACATGCAAAGTGTTTTAAAAGCTCTACTCTGCAAATCATGCTATAGTGAAGCAATTACAAGACAATACATGTGTTACATTGAAGCTTTTATTCACAGACTTCTTCGATTGTAACAACCTGTTGCACCATATGTTTTGTTTTGCTTACACTTTTAATGTAGAATGAATAATTGGGACATTTGGAGCATGTGTTTCTTTAGATTTCCTACCTCTCAGTTATTGGGAAAAACTAAAAGGCTGTGTGAGAACCCTTATCATTACTCAACTCCTCGGAGGCATTACTTCCTAATTCTTGCCATCTTGCCCTAGCTTGCCTCACACACACACACACACACACACACACACACACACACACATACACATACACATACACACACACACACACACACACACACACACACACACACACACACACACACACACACACACACACACACACTATACTTCTTGAATGCACAGTATGTACACGATAATGACAGGGACGCGTGTTTGCTGCAGCTGGAGGTAGATAGCATGAAAAAGGAGATGATAAAGATGTCACTAAAGACTGGAGATGTTAGGCCTCCAATGGAAAGTCTGACTAAGCAGCTGAGGCTCCTTCCTGCCTGCAGAAAGCCTCATAAGCAGCCTCTGTGGTGCAGTTTGGTTGGAAAAAATGTGTGAAATGTTGCGGCCCTGCCCACTACCCTGACACCAGCTGAGTTATAGCGTGTGTAAAATGCCCTGCTTACATTTTTGTATACAACCCCTCCTAATTATATGTAACGTCCATTTTAAGCTGGTGTGATGCATGACAGCATGTGCAAAGTCCAGTCCCACCCACAGGCACTGACTAACGCCATTACCTCACATCTGCACTGATGGAAAACAAACATTGTCCTGTGAGGTTATTGTGCCTTCTTACAGATGTTACACTCCCTTCCAGGAAAGCCACACTCAGTATATTACTTCACCGGATTGATAAGACACTGGCACTGCTCATCTGTTGTGAAACGCTATGAGTACTGTACAGCTAAAAAAAGAAGTACACTCAGGGAATGTTGGAAACACAATCACTGAGAAATTCATGATCGGCTGACTGCGCTCAGATTTCCATTATTAAACTACACAGGCTTTTTCAGACATACGTTAATCTGTTGTGATCACGTACAATGTGTTGAAGCACTACTAGACAATAGGAGCGCAAATGTTACAAAGTGATGTCACTAGGTTCCTGAAGTAAACAAAGGACTCTAATGGAGGCGTTTCAGGGTGGGGGGAGTGTGTTGGAGAGAAACTCCCTCTGGAGGGAACACACATTTTCGCCTTTGCAGACCATTTACATGCACACAAACCTATACTACAGGAAGTATACTAGGGCCTTTTTAAAGGGCCCCACCATTGATTTGACACATAACAGTAAATGTACTCTGGCTTGTCAAGATAGCAGGGTATAGTATAAGTGGTCCAGGAATTATATTATATGAAATTCTGAAATATTAAAACAAAAACCTCTAGATGTCATAATGTTGGAGACTTGAAGAATTATAAGAGCAAGTCTTCAAATAAACCCTCTTCCTGTGAGCAAAGTTTTGTTTGATTAAATGTGACGCAAGTTAAAACCAAGACAATCCAAGCATTGTCTTGGCCTTGGAACTTTGACCTTTGTTTTGCAAATTGGGGCAGTGAGGGTAAAACACATTTTTTAAAATTAATGGCTGAAGGAGAAATGTAACTCCATGTTGTTGTAGCTCGACCAATAACAGTACGGTTATGTTGACATTAACTGTTATTTCTAAGAATGTAGAGGAACGTACAATTTCCCCTTAACACTGTCATAATCCATAAATAATGTACGGTGATAATATATTTGATTCTCTCCTGCAGGATTGGAGGGAGATGCAGATCTAAATTTCCTGCTGGTCGGCGGGGAACTGATCAAGATCCGCTCGAGCTCCTGGAAGAGGAACCGCTTCTTCAAACTGCAGGAGGACTGCAAGACGCTGTGGTACAAGTCCCACAAAACATTCAGGAAAAACCAGACGTGTAAGTGTCAGATCAATCTTCAGAATTATATAAGTTACTGCACTTTTTTTTGCTTTTGAAGATGTGTCACCAAAAGCCATCATTTGTAAGCATGGCATAATGTTTTAACCTAAAATCTTGGTTGCTGTAGGGTATTGTTATTTAGATCATCCTACTATATGTTTGAGCTTTACATCTGCTTGCTATTATTCCATCAACATATAGTTCTCCTTTCAGATCTCAACAATTAGCTCCTTGCAAACACACCCCTTAACACCCACTGGTACTCATAAAACATTTCTGAGAAAATGGAAACAACTCACACAGATACCGTAGTGTGGCCAAAGACAGACTGGAAAATACTGGTGTATTTCTGTGTGTGTGTGTGTGTGTGTGTGTGTGTGTGTGTGTGTGTGTGTGTGTGTGTGTGTGTGTGTGTGTGTGTGTGTGTGTGTGTGTGTGTGTGTGTGTGTGTGTGTGTGTGTGTGTGTGTGTGTGTGTGTGTGTGTGTGTGTGTGTGTGAAACTGATTACTTACCTCTGAAATCGGGTTCAGTAACCCACAGTGAGTGTGAATGTGTGTGTGTGTGTGTGTGTGTGTGTGTGTGTGTGTGTGTGTGTGTGTGTGAAACTGATTACTTACCTCTGAAATCTGGTCACAGTGAGTGTGAATGTGTGTGTACTGATCTCCCGGCTGCTGCTACCAGACGTGATAACCTCTGCCCCGAGCCTCAGTCTTAAACAAACACTAACACACAAAGCAGTGCGCTCTATATGCCCATACAGACACACAGACACACACAGAGGCCATATGGAGCGATGCAGTCATGTGAACGGTCAGCTTTTTGCAGCTAATTGGCTTCAAGTTCCCATGTGTTTGTTTACGGAAATGAGACAGCACGTTTTATTGCTTTCCTGTGGGCTTTAGCAAGACATAATGACCAATCAGGTAAAGTGCTTTGGCATAAGGAGTTGGGAAGCACGTAGTCTTTAAAAGCTTCTTTTTTTTAGGTTCATATTTGTATTTTGTCCCTCTACTGTGACATGTTTCTATCTGCTGCTTTACAAAACCACAATCTGTTTCAATGCTACGAACACATTTCAATGTACAGTAACTCATCTGTTACTCACTAACTAGATCACTTCTCATCAGTCCCTATATGCGTCTGTTCACTTTTCCCACACTCTCCCTGTCATTTGCCTTGATAGCATTCACACACTAACCCTAGCACACACACACATGCAGGTACTCACTGTCAGGGTCACATGAGGTAGATGTCACTCCACTGTAAATATAACACACATACATCTCCCGAGACACTTCCCTCGTATAGCTGTCAGTGAGCTATTTGTCACAGAGATAAAGGTGATTGATGATATTTGCAGGCAATATTAATGGCGTCAAACAAGTCTTAACATACGAGGAAAGTTATTGTCTTGAATGCCGTTCGTTAGGTATAATAATTATGCTGTTACAAGCTGAAAAATTCAACCCTGAGGCCAAAAACATCACGGCAAAGTGTGCGTACTCCTGCGGCCGTGTTTCAGGCGTGAAGGAATTCTCTATAACGTAAGTCAACATGTCACATAAATCCAAAGACCTTGTTAACTCATTAGCTGAAAGGATTCTCTGACCACAATTTGCAACCTAAAGTTAAGCCAACTTTTAGACTGGAACAGAGAATAAAAACTGCCATAGATTGCATGCCTTTCCATACATTGCTTGGCCATATTTGTATAATAAATCAGGCCTCCACCGACTGCATTGTAAAAGAGATATTTTAAAGAAAGAAGAATGAAAACCAAAACTAAAATTCAGTCGGTACGTAAAATGTATTGTGACATTGTAATCCTGCTAGTAATCCCCATTTTTAAAAAAGATTTTACATTAATCAGATTAGGTATTTTTTATGTAACTGTAAGGGATCAAGTTACCTATCCTGATTACGTAATCCCGTTACATGTAATCCATTATCCCCCACGCCTGGTCACGCTCCACCTCACAGAAAAACCACCTCTTTACTGCTAAATGCTAAATTCCCTTTGAAGAAAAAAGCATTTTAGAATCAGCTGCATGAACGTCGCTCCTGCACAATGATCTCCGGTATTTCATCTGGTATTCAAGCAATGTCGGCGTGACACGGATGACAAGATTTGGGCTTTATAGAGGGATGGGATTCTTTGAAAATGATCCAAATTCACCAACCCACTGCTGGGGATAATGTGCAAGCTGATCAACAACAAACACTCTGCTTCTGGTGAATGCCTCCAAGGTATTTTCATCAGGGTGTGTTTCACCAAACCGCCCATTCTTTTCTCTCCAAGTAGTCCGACCTTTAGATTCACCCCGGCCCTAAATAGTCTCTGATTCTCTCTCAGGAACAATGGCTGCTCTTTCATAGCCTCTCCAGCCTCGGGATGCCCAGGCTGGAAACACTGTGATTGTAACCCCGCTGCAACATATGGCCTCTTAGCTAAGCCTGGTCTTTAGTGTTTGGTTGCCGGGGCGGTTGTGATTACATCATGGGCGGCTCTTCCGTACATTAAGCTGGCTGTGTGTGTGCAGAGAGCTTCAGTACGTGTGTTTGTATATGTTTTTGTCCTAGAAATGTGGTATTTTATGTGTTGCAAGTGTGTGAGACGAAGTGTTGTTAAGTAAAGTAATGTAATCTCCAAGGAATGTGGTTGCGTTGCTAAAGAACCCAAATGTTTAGCCGACAACAACAAAATGCCTGAGAGACCGTCCTGTCTCAGAGGACTCTTAAATGTGTGTTCAGTTTGGGCTAGACAAGATTAAGATACTGCTGTTTTGAAACATGTTAGTGAGAAAGAATTATGTTGTACAAGTTCATGTCTCACTGGAGGTTGTTTTGGATTTCTGTATGAGGAAAGGGTTTTAGTTTTGGAGCATTTTGCATTTATCTCCTTTAGGACCAGACATATTTTCAGACAGGGTTAGGGTTAGGGTTAACATACAGTAGTGCATGCACCCAAGATATTTCTTTCCTGATCTGTTGGAGACTTAAACAGAGCTAGAAGGAAGGTTAAAAAACAATCGGAAATAGATGCTAATGTTGCTCTGTGTCTGCTGGATGTTTAAACATGCAACTGATATGCCTTGTGAGTGAAGGCCACAGAAGCGAGCTATCACAAAGGAACAGACGCCTTCCTGCAGATAAGACGTAAAAACAGCTTGTTGTGCTGCGAGATACTGATGTGTCTAAAGGGGGAGGATAAAGACTTTTTCCAAGGGGCCAACAGCTACTGTACATGTGTTTCTATTGAAGCTATTAACACTAATCATAGCGCTAATGATGGAAAAAGTGATCCATAGTAAAACAACTTAATGCCTTGATGCACAAACATGTTTTGTAGATGTTGCATTAAGCTACATTAACGCCTTCCTCTCTCCAGTCTCCATCGATGACATTGAGTCAATCCGAAAAGGCCGTCAATCTGAAGGTCTCAACAAACACACCGACCCCAGCGTGGAAGAAATGTGCTTCTCCATCATCTTCAAGGGCCGCAAGAAAAATCTGGATCTGATGGCGGCCAATGGGTCGGAGGCGAAGCAGTGGGTCAGCGGCCTGGACAAGATCATCCATAACATGCGCAACCTGAGCCGCCAGCAGAAGAGTGAGCAGTATCCTTCACTAAGTTTTTCTTTGGGACATTTGCATACATGTTCCTCCAGGTTTTTTTTATCTGTCAAGTTTTTAATCAGTTCCAGTATAATCCTTACATCTTCATGACAGTTGGATCATCAACTGCATGCGGAAAGCAGACAAGAACGCAGACAACAAGATGACGCTGAAGGAGCTGAAGCACTTCCTGAGGCAGGTCAACGTGGAAGTGGACGACACTTACGCTGCGGAGATTTTCAAGGTGAGCCGTTGCATCCTGCCGATCAATGTAGTATCCATATCCATTGTCTGGTTGATTGATTGTCTCATCGTGTCTTACAGACATGCGACACGTCCAACTCAGGCTCCTTGGAGGGCGAGGAGATCGAGCACTTCTACGACCTGCTGACGCACCGAGAGGAGGTCGACGTGATCTACGGGAAGTACGCTCAAACCGAGGGTCAGATGAGCAGCAAAGACCTGCTGAACTTCCTGCTGACCGAGCAGATGGAGAAGGTGTCCATGGAGGACGCTCTCAAGCTGATAGAGAAATACGAAGTGGATGGAACAGGTAGGAAGACTTAAGGGGTTTTAAACATTATGAGCGATAAATGTCCACATATTCATGGTTCTTTCTGACTTTCGTCCACCAGCGAAGCAGAACAAACGCATGTCCAAAGATGGCTTCCTGATGTACCTGCACAGGGAGGAGGGCTCCATCTTCAACCCGGCACACAAACAGGTGTATCAGGACATGCACCAGCCCCTCAACCACTACTACATCTCATCGTCACACAACACGTACCTGATGGAAGACCAACTCAAAGGGCCCAGCAGCACAGAAGCCTACATAAAGTAACTTGAACATAACAGATGGAAACAGCTTTACCCCATCTTGGTTTATTCTTACACACAAAGCACTGTGCAGGTTTTTTAAAGAATGTTTTCTCTCCCTGCAGAGCGCTGATGAAGAGCTGCCGCTGTGTGGAGCTGGACTGTTGGGACGGGGCTAACGGAGAGCCGGTCATTTACCACGGATACACACTCACATCCAAAGTGCTCTTCAGAGACGTCATCAAAGCCATCAACGACTACGCCTTCAAAGTATGTGTAGCATTCAATTGCAAGACATTTCAAGGGGACATATTCTGCACATGTTCAGGTTCATACTGCATTAGTAATTAGTACAATGTGTTGGAGCGCTAGCCAATCAAAGCGTGTGTGTTACATAGCGATGTCACAATATTCAGAAAGTAAACAAAGGAGTCCAATCGAGGCGAGAGAAACTCCCTCTGCAGGGAACTTTGGATGTTAGCCTTTGCAGACCAATTACATGCACAAACATTACAACACAGGAAAGGGAAAACTCAACAAAGCATTATAGGGCCTCTTTAAAGTTGGATGCATCACGGCATGATTGTTTATTCTGTTCCTCCAGACCTCTGACTACCCGGTGATCCTGTCCCTGGAGAACCACTGCAGCGTGGACCAGCAGAAGCTCATGGCCCATCACCTGATCTCCATCCTGGGAGAGGCTCTGCTCACGAAGCCTGTGGGAAACACCATGCCCTCCGACTTCCCCTCACCTGAGGTGTGTTAGCTACTCTGATCTCTATTTGAACATTCACAGCCCCTAAACAAACACCAAAGGAAGGCGGCACCTACAAATCATTTCTCTTAAGTTAATGATCCACCTCACTGTCCTGTTTACTCTAACGTGACTATTAGATTTGTCTGGGAATGATGTGAGCGCCACATGAAAGCAAATCAAAACAGCAGCATCTCAAAGCCTCTGCTCCACCCACACACGATCTAGAGTTTTTCACTTTATTATCTCGCTCAGAGATTAGCTGTTTATTAACCAACAGATTGTCACTAGATTTGAGACTTTGCAGTGTGTGAGAGAACACTTTGTTTGATAAGAGAAGCCGGTGGCAAAGTGGAGTATGCGACCAGGGGCAAGCATTATAATCATTTTGGTCGTTTTCTGCTACAAACAAGGTTTATTGTTCTTGTTAATTGCCTTATAATCTTTATATATATATCTTACATATTATAGCTCTGATGATAAGCGTGACTCCCAGACGTACTGAAAAAGTATTTAGTACTAGAAAATAAACTAAGAGAGGCGGGGAAATATGAATTTACATTCCCAAGCCATGTGTATTTCTTGCACCCATGGGATGATTGCCATGTGACCTCAAAATATGCTATAATTACGGATTTCAAAACCTTTTTCACTCTGTCATTTACTGCCTAGGGTGATTGATCAGACGTAATCAATAACACATGTTTCCCTGGAAAATAAGACACAGCTTCCCAGTATTTTAACAGTGAAACCCGTTTTCTGTGCAGGGGCTGAAGGGCAAGTTCCTCATTAAGGGAAAACGATTAAACAAACTGGATGCTGCGCTCAACAACAACAACAGCACCTTAGAAGAAGACACCGTGTCTGAGGAGGACGAGGCTGCAGACTGTAAAGAGAACGGACATAAATCTAAATCAAAGGTGAGAGAAATGTTTTTTACTAACTTGAAGTACATTAAAAAATGAATATATGTAGCTTATATGGAATTCTTAGTATATTCTTTGTGTACAATTTGTAATTTTGGGCCACGACCAGAGCATTCCTATTTAAATAAGTACACACACAGATCAAATATATGTTCAAATATATGTATTTTCTTCAACTAAACTGAGCCTTTTTTCTGTCTCTCTTAGAAATCAAAAATCAAACTAGCCAAAGCGCTGTCAGACATCGTGGTCTACTGTAAGAGCGTCCACTTCAGCGGATTCGAACACGCCAAGGACTGCCAAGTCTTCTACGAGATGTCGTCCTTCAAGGAGAGCAAAGCCTTCAACCTGGCCGAGAACTCAGGTAAACATCTCACTAACAAACAGAGGTGGGAAGTAGTGGAGTACAAATACTTTGTTACTGTACTTAAGTACATGTTTCTGGTATCAGTACTTTACTCCACTACTTACTTTTCTGACGACTTTTTACTTTTACTTCTTACATTTTGAACACAAATACCTGTACTTTCTACTTCTTACATGTTGAACACAAATACCTGTACTTTCTACTTCTTACATGTTGAACTCAAATACCTGTACTTTCTACTTCTTACATGTTGAACACAAATACCTGTACTTTCTACTTCTTACATGTTGAACTCAAATACCTGTACTTTCTACTTCTTACATGTTGAACACAAATACCTGTACTTTCTACTTCTTACATGTTGAACACAAATACCTGTACTTTCTACTTCTTACATGTTGAACACAAATACCTGTACTTTCTACTTCTTACATGTTGAACACAAATACCTGTACTTTCTACTTCTTACATGTTGAACTCAAATACCTGTACTTTCTACTTCTTACATGTTGAACCCAAATACCTGTACTTTCTACTTCTTACATGTTGAACATAAATACCTGTACTTTCTACTTCTTACATGTTGAACCCAAATACCTGTACTTTCTACTTCTTACATGTTGAACACAAATACCTGTACTTTCTACTTCTTACATGTTGAACACAAATACCTGTACTTTCTACTTCTTACATGTTGAACACAAATACCTGTACTTTCTACTTCTTACATGTTGAACCCAAATACCTGTACTTTCTACTTCTTACATTTTGAACACAAATACCTGTACTTTCTACTTCTTACATGTTGAACACAAATACCTGTACTTTCTACTTCTTACATGTTGAACTCAAATACCTGTACTTTCTACTTCTCACATTTTCCAAACAGGCTGGTTCCTTTAGTTTGAATGTGTGTTTGGTGGCGTGATCATTATTATTTAGAGTCATTGCGTGCCTATTGATTTGAACACGATCCGTGTATCCATCATTTCCTGGTCTTCTCTAAAGAAGAGGGACCAATGAAAACGTTGTCATGTTGCCGTTGTTCAGCATGGAAACATTCATTAGCTAACAATGACATTATTGTTCTATTAATATAAAGGGAGGTCAGGTACTCTTTAAAACAGCTGCTAGTTATGGGTACTTTTTACTGAAGTACATTTCAAAGCCCTCTTTACTTTGACTTGAGTAAAGAAGTTTAGTCAGTACTTCTACTTTTACCAGAGTATTTTTAAACACAAGTATCTGTACTTCTACTTGAGTAAAGGATGTGTGTACTTTTGCCATCTCTGCTAACAACACTGCGAGTGGATTATGATTTATCACAAGGAAAGTATCAAATCAAATCAAACTTTATTGTGTTTAATGTCTTCTTATAGGGACTGCATATATCCATCACAACATAGACAAACTGAGCAGGATCTACCCAGCCGGATCCAGAACCGACTCCTCAAACTATAACCCTGTTCCTATGTGGAACGTCGGCTGCCAGATAGGTACGCTACCATTAATATATCCAGAAATCTAGCTATTAGTATATGAAGTGTTATTGTTATTAAGAGTCTTTCTGGTTTGGTTTCCAGTGGCGCTGAACTTCCAGACTCCCTCTAAGGAGATGCACATAAACCAGGGTCGGTTTCTGCAGAACGGTTTGAGCGGATACGTCCTGAAACCAGAATTTCAGAGAAGCCTTTCCTCTCAGTTTGATCCCAACACAGGGCCCTGGCTGAAGAGGAAGACCTTCTATGTGATGGTAAGTGTTAGACAAATATCACTTGTCACCGGCTTGAGCTTCAATCTCAGGATCCATGTATTTATTATCCTCTCCAGAATGGAAGTAGTCATCACATACAGAGCATTTGGTACAACTAGTTCCTGAGCAGTGTCCTTCACATGCTGATATCCAAGAGAGGGAGTTACACAGTCACAAGATGGAGGAATAGAAAGCAGTATTCAATGTTTACTTCAGATTAGCTCCACGTCAGAAATGATCATGCTTGTCATATGTCTATCTCCATAGAGGCTGAGTCATCATGTTAATCACATAGCTATCATATGCCTAAAACAGTCCTGATGCTCTTCTAGGTAATCATACATCCTGTCATGTACACAGCTACAGTTGGGATACCTTTGTTATCATGTGTGTGGGGGAAACTTCTGTGCAGCAATGCAGGAGGAGTCACCGACTCAAAAGGAGACACGGGGAGAGCTGGAGCTTTGATGTCAAACACTGATGGTTTATTTAGGAGCTTCGGCCGGAGAATTCACAAAACAAGTCAAAGAGTCAGAGGTTCTGACTTCACGGTAGAGTTGCCACGTCAATTCTGAAGAACTCTACCCCAGACCCGTGTATTTAGCTAGTTCAGAGAGAATAATCAACATTGTGCATAACAAGATAGAACCATAACACCTCTATCAGCTGAAGCCAACAGGCAGGAACAGGGAGACACAACACTGAGAGCACAGCAGCCAAGGTCACAGGTGCGTGTGCTCAGTCAGGACATGAACTGATACACTGGGTCAAAGTTATGGGCCTTGGAAAATATTTCCCCAACAATGTGTACTCTGATATTGGAAGAGTACATTCAGTATTTTCCCAACAGTACGAGATATTACGCCTCAAAGAAAGAGATATCTGGTACCTGGAAGTGATTTCCTTTTTAATTGATTGGTTTCTTTCAAATGACTAAAGGTGATCTCAGCTCAGCAGCTACCTAAAATCAACAAGGACAAACACAAATCCATCGTCGACCCTCTGGTTCGAATGGAGATCTACGGCGTCCCGGCAGACAACGCCAGCAAGGAGACGCACTACATCGATAACAACGGTGAGAAAATCACACATCAGGAAATAATCATATATCCAATCCAATCCAACTTTATTTATATAGCACATTTAAAAACAACAGAGTTGACCAAAGTGCTGTGCATCAATACATATATAAAAAAGCAGCTTAATTACATTTAGAGAAAACCGATAGGACAAAAAGAAACTAATGTAAAAGCACGAGACAATAAAACCATCCTTATAGCCACAGACTGAAAACCCTCATACAACAATACTCCATGCCTGCAGGGTTCAACCCGATGTGGAATGAGAAGTTCCAGTTCAACATCCACGTGGCAGAGCTGGCCCTCCTGCGGTTTGTGGTGGAGGACTATGACTCAACATCCCAGAATGACCTCATCGGGCAGTACTGTCTACCGCTCAGCAGCGTACAGAACGGTAAGAGAGTCCAGCACTCAACTACATATCAGCTAGGCTACATGAAACACCTCTTAAAGTGTGTGGTCTGCAAAGGCTACATGTACAACATTCAGAACATAGTGACATCACTGTAAAACACTTGCGCTGCTTTTTCGACATCTCTAAGCTGTTGACCAATCACAACAGAGCCGTCCAGCTAACCAATCAGAGCAGACTGGGCTCTGGTTTCAGACAGAGGGTGAAAAGAGGTGCTGCAGCACAGGCAGTATGAGAAAAATAAAGAGCTTTCTGAACATTAGAGCATGGAGACATGTCACAGTAGAGACACTACATACTGATATACACCTGAACATCAGCAGGAGAGGACTCTTTAAAGTAGAGACACTACATACTGATATACACCTGAACATCAGCAGGAGAGGACTCTTTAAAGTAGAGACACTACATACTGATATACACCTGGACATCAGCAGGAGAGGACTCTTTAAAGTAGAGACACTACATACTGATATACACCTGAACATCAGCAGGAGAGGACTCTTTAAAGTAGAGACACTACACACTGATATACACCTGAACATCAGCAGGAGAGGACTCTTTAAAGTAGAGACACTACACACTGATATACACCTGAACATCAGCAGGAGAGGACTCTTTGAAGTAGAGACACTACACACTGATATACACCTGAACATCAGCAGGAGAGGACTCTTTAAAGTAGAGACACTACATACTGATATACACCTGAACATCAGCAGGAGAGGACTCTTTAAAGTAGAGACACTACATACTGATATACACCTGAACATCAGCAGGAGAGGACTCTTTAAAGTAGAGACACTACATACTGATATACACCTGAACATCAGCAGGAGAGGACTCTTTAAAGTAGAGACACTACACACTGATATACACCTGAACATCAGCAGGAGAGGACTCTTTAAAGTAGAGACACTACACACTGATATACACCTGAACATCAGCAGGAGAGGACTCTTTAAAGTAGAGACACTACATACTGATATACACCTGAAAATGAGCAGAATAAGCACTAAAGCTCTGATTTTCCATGAACAAGAATTGCTGACAGCATTATTTAAATCACATGATTCCACTTTCTGTGTTCCTTATTAAGCGGTCTGAATAATTACTTCAACCCACTTCCTCTTTTTGTCCCAGGATATCGCCACGTCCCCCTGCTCACCAAGAGAGGAGACGTCATCTGCTCCGCCGGACTCTTTGTGCACCTCATGCTCGTGGACGCTCAGTAAAAAAAAACCTCCATGTGTTTTTCTGGAAACTCTAAAAGGACCATGTCCAGTTTTAAAGCTACGTAATTTAACTCTGATCAAATATTTAATGGGATGCTGACTCACCGTTGTCTGCCTAACACTTTCCTGTTGTTTTGTAATTTTCAAAGAGAAGTGTGTTTGATTGAAGCAACAAGAGAGTGAATGAATGAACGAGCAGTGTGGTAAATTATTTAAGGAAAGTCTTTAAACTGTATATTTCATATTGGGGAGAAGTACAATAAATTACAGGAGTAAAATCCAGCTTTTGGATATTCCTGAATAGTGTTGTAATGTTTATAAATGTGTTGACGCTTCAGGATCATACGAATCATGGACACGATGTATTAAAAGCACAACAAGCACCTAACAGATTTAGTGACTTCACATTGATTTATGTTGTCTGTTTTTGTGCCGTAATGATGACGCTAACTGGACCGGTATGATTTTAAAACGCTCATTTAGAGCCGTGTGTGTCTGTGTTTTCGTTTTTTAAACAGCCTTTTTAAACTCCCTTAAAGGTAGGGTAGGTAAGTTTGAGAAACCGGCTCGAGATCGCTAGAATTTGAAAATACACAAACGGAGAAAATCTGCCACTTCCTTATAGAGCCCCTCCTCCAACACACACGAACGCGCACATGACCAATGAGGGCACGAGATAAGTTTGTGCCCAGATGGAAGGCTGACAGGCAGGTAGGCCATCCAGTTATTTTAGCCGGGCCGGGTAAAATGATTGGTCTGTAGTGATCACTGATTGACATAATTCACGCATGGTACTTTTTACAGTATTACGGCTTCCACAGATGACATTTTTTTATGGATTTTTTTGTCAAAGCACTTAAGATATTCATTGCTATCGGGATGTTAAGAGCATTCCATGGAATATAACAAAAAGTGTATCTCGAGCCGGTTTCTCAAACTTACCTACCCTACCTTTAAGACTTTTTTATTGAGAATATTAAGAAAGTCATACATAAATCTGCAAAATTGAAGCTAATCACCAAGTGTTTCATGTCATAAACCTCTTTATATTTCACATTATTCCTGTCTTGTCTGTTATTATACCTTTGCACTAGCTCTCAAATAAAACCAGAAGAATTTCTCATGAAAGGTTTTTGGGTTTTTATTCATAATGTAAGCGATTCAGCAAATGGCAATAACATCCTGAGAAAATGTAATCATGGTAAGATCAGCTTAAAACATTGAAAAATATAGATAAATACAAAGCATCACAATTAAAAATTAATTTAAAGCATAAGTTATTTAGTTAAATCACAATCATGGAAATAAGCATTTTAAATTGTTTTAATGGGTTGATGGTGGAAGAAAGTATTAAAAAACAACATTTAGGTGATATGATTAAGGCCTGTTTGCGAACAGCTGCCTTATTTAGTTTTAAAAAGACATGTATCTGCTAAAAATATGTGGGGTTTTTTCAGAAAAGTCCTGCTTTTTTCTTCATGTCACTCTGCCTCCACTTCGGTAGCCGCTTGAAATCTGCTCGAGTTGTTCCCAGCAGGTTCTCAAAGTCCTTATCAGACAGGTAGTCCTGAAAACACAGGGGAACAATAGAGTAAGGCTGACCTCTGCTGGACACACTGAGGTACTGCAGGACACACAGGTTAAATATAATACACCTTTCACTGAATCACATTATTTTACAAACCACTTGATTACATGTGTCTCTTTGTGGTTGTTTTTTTCCTATCATTATCCTACGATTACTATTGTCTCTTTGTAGTTATGTGTGTGTCTTTCTATGTGTATCTTTGTTGTTATTTTGTGTCTATTTGTTGTCAGTTTGCATTTCTTCAAGGTTGTTTTCCATCTGACAGCAGATGGAAATGAGCTATTCGCTAAAATCTGGCATAATTAATCTCTTCTCTTTTGTGAGATTAATGTATTTGTATGCATGGTCCTTGTTGAAATAAATACATAATACTTATCTCCTTTTAGTCATTATGCATATGTTTTAGTTATTTTGTGTCTCTCTGTAGACATTGCATTGTCATTTTGAGTCTGTATGTACATTTTCTTTATAGGAAACCACAAAGAAGGGCTAAGAAAATGCAGGTATTATTTAGTAAAGCACCGCTGTTCAACTGTCATTCTGAATAAAGAGCTTTACTAATCATGTGTTTGTGCTTTTTATACCATAACCTTATCATTCGGTGCACCTGTACTAGTAAATATTGGATTACCTTTCAGAGATATTCAATTTAGAAGACTCTTAATAGATCTGTTAAAAAAGCAATCATGACATTCTTTTAACTGGCTTAGTAATTCACACAATTAGTGTAATAACTTTTTATTTTTCCCCATGTTTACTGACCAAAACACATTAAAAGCCAGTTTGAAGAGGTGAGTTTTTTGAAGGTGGTGAGGCTAAGTTAGCGTTTTGTCTCCTACACTCAGGGTGTTTCTCAATGTCGAGGAAGGCTGCTCCAGAGCCACTATTTCAAGCATGCTACGTCATCGAGTGCCGCCGAAGGACTGTTCCAATGTCCAGCATACTCGGAATTCTACCGAGCCCGGCGTACTTCGTTTGGAGACATTTCTAGGCTGCACATGTGTATCCTCCGCGGTCTTAAAATCCCCACAATGCTTTGCGCACGGACCAATTTCCAAAATCTTTGGCGGAAATCGCGCTCCATTTAAGGCGGGGCCTCGCATATGACGCACACCTGTTCCACAATTCTTTGTTTTCCGAGGCTAGGCAGGATTCTTGCCTCGCTTCTGAAGGACCTGACTCGGAGGGACTTGTCCTACCAAGGAAGCGTCCTCGACATTGAGAAACACCCCCTGACTCTGCACCCACCTCTCTCAGGCCGACAATTGGAGGAAGAGACTAAATGCAAACATGTGCTTTCTAGGCAAATAATGATAATAATATAGATATTAAACTCAGGCTAAGTTAGCATTTTGTCTGCTACACCCTGACTCTGCACCCACCTCTCTCAGGCCGGGGTCCACATCAGCCGGCAGCTCGTCGGGGGTCTTGTTGACGAGGAGCTCCGGGGCCAGAAACATGACAGAGCCTCCAGTAGAGGGGGAGGAGGGGGAGAGGGTCACGGAGGCTGAGTTTCTCTGGGTGGACGGGCTGCTGGGGGTGGAGGGTCTAGGGGACAGATCCCCTCCGTGGATCCTGTAGGAAGGAGGGGAGCTGGCGGGGCCTCCAGGAGCCCCGTATCCCCCCCCAACAGCACTCTTATTGAGATTAGTGTTGTTCAGATCCTGCAGATAGGTGAGGGAAATCATCATTCTGGTGGTTTTTACATGACATCTGGGAGAAAACGTCTAAATTGTAAGCATTTGAGGAGTAGTATGAGTATATTTCAACACATTAGTCATATTTACAATTGGGATATTAGTTAATAATTAAAAAAGGATTGAGATTAGTGTAATGCAGGATCATTTTTTTTTACATGACATCTGGGAGGAAATATCAACATTGTAAGCATTCACAGATTAGTATCATATTTACCATTGGGGTATTAGTGCATAGTTAATAATTAAAAGGGATTAGTGTTAATCAATCACTTACAACAGTGATCTGTGAGAGAGATGCTGGATCACTCAGCTTTTTTTTCATCTCCTCATAGGAGTTGCCTCCCTGTTGAGAAGATCGATTGAGAATATGGGTGAGCATGCAGGGTTCAACAATCCATGAAATCATCACATGTGCTTTCTTATTTCTGAAATGATTCATCACCTGTGTCTCTCCTCAATCATCTGTTAATGTCATACACACATACAGACCTGAACAGTGATTTGTCATCATGCAGCTTTCTCTTACTGAGAGTCTATAGGGGTGTCCATTTTGAATTGGCCCTCAGCTAATTCAAAAAGTACAATGAAATATGGCCCACAAATGAAACTTTTGCTTGTCTTGTATTGTACTTCTTAAATATATCTGTAAACATATTACACAGTATAGTGTTCATGTGTTAATAAGACCATTTTCAGTCAATTCAAATATGATTAACAAATCTAAATTGATAAGAATAAAGCCCAATAACTTATTTACATAAAAACCCTTCCTATTTCCTCTTATGATAAGCAATCTGAGACTTCTGTTTTAAGGAATGAGCTGCTAACCAAATAAATTAAACCCTATGGAAAGCTGTCATGTAGGCTGCAGCATAATTTACTTACATTTGATTGATTTTGCTAACTTATAACTCAACTTATGAGGCAATAAACCTCTCCTCTAGTGAGTGGCCCAGCCCTTCTTATGTTTTTCTGTATGTGGCCCTCGGAGAAAAGAGTTTGGACACCCCTGCTCTTTACAAACTCACGCTCCACTTGTGAGGGTCCCAGGCGGTGAACCAGCCGGTGAAGGTTGGCGGTTCGAATCCCTGTTTGACGAAGAGCACGGGTGTGTCGGGGTCTCGGCCCGCAGGGTGGGTCCTCAGGTAATCCTGCGCGCTGTTCCACGCCTCCTTCGTCTCGTACTGATTCGCTGAGTTCCCGACCCACAGGAAAATCTGAGGGGAAGTGTGGAAAAAAACACAGACGTATTATTATTTATAGTTTGTGAATGTTGTAGAAGATAAGATTTAATTTATTGATCCCAATTTCATTGCACTTTATGTGAAAATGAAAACGAGTAGAAAAATGTCAATGCCCGCCGTTTTCAGTCTGTCATTAAAGTCTCTAAACTTAATTTCTCTGCTGCTGATTATTACAATTGAAATGTCTTGTTTTTAATTAGTGTCTCCTGGCGAGAGCAAGTGCCAGAGACGGTCCTGTGGATAAGGAGTCGAGGCTCTGAACCGACAGCAGCAGGTAGGACTGCGTCACACAACCGGGTTTAATGTGCATCACTATAACAAAACACAAAGCGTCAATTAAAAAACTCCAAACTTAATAGGGTCAATCAAATATCACCTTTGCGCCTATCAAAACTTCAAAACTTGCGTCAAAAACGTTCGCTCGCTTCGCGTCGATTTTCAAACTGCGCGTTTCCGAATGTCCATTTCCACCGTGAAGCAGCAGAGATCACGTGAGTAGCCCCGAAGAGTCAAGCTAGCATCTCAGTTAGCTTGACGGGCAATTTCCAAGTCCTTTTTACATGCAGTTTAAAGACATTACAGTTAACACGCCTTACTTTTACCTTTAGCTGGAGTCGTTGTTGCTATTACATGTGCGCGTGCCTAGGGATATACAATCTCACAAAGGTTGTGCAAAATACCACAGACCTCATTAGTAATATATGTATATTTAAAAAAAGGCTGCTTTATTGATCAATTAAGATACACATTTGTGGCTAATTAATAGATAAATAAATGTGTTAGCGTTTATATCCACACAGCTGAAGTTGCTTTCAATAAAAACAAATAAAAAAAACACAGATTTTTGTTTTGGTGCTTACCTTTCCTCAAAAG